TCCCAGAATCATTATAAAATGAATCACATAACAGTACAGTATTAAGATTGTATGAATGTACAAATGAATTACAATAAGAATACTAGAGCGCTGACTCCACACGCGCAATCTTTTGTACTGCCAGCAACATAACACAACAAACATACACACGTTATATGCACGTTATCGTCTAGGTGTATCTTCCCCTAACTACCAGCCGGTATGTCAGTGTATAGCAATGAAGCCCAAATGCTAGAATGACACCCCGGTTTAGACAAGTATAATCGTTACTGTCGTAATGGTTTTTCTACTACTACTAAAAAATTAAAAACTCACTTGTGGCATTTTAACTTAGCCTTAATTTATTCTTATTTTGTTCTTAATTTTCCGCAATTTCGACAGCCTCATTCTTCTTATAAAATGTGCTCTTATAAAGAAATGTAAGTGATGTTGCTATTAAATGTACAGCGTTACTCGTATCATGATAATCCTTTTTATACCCCGTCACGGGTTCAATGGATAGATAGCGTATACATACAGTATAATTACGCTTATACCTCTGTATATGTTTTCTGTCGATGCCAAGAATAAAAATGTTCATTAATTTGTTTAAAATGCTTCTAGTTGTTTGAATCAGCTCATTTACAGTTGCTTTTAATCCACTCTTTATATCAAACTTTGCTATTATTCATTTAAAAGCAGAATTGATTTTGAATTTTTATTCGTAATGGTTACGAAGTTATACAGTAGTATTTTTCATTTGGGAAACAATTTGCTTGTGTTTCTCCATGTCCTCCACTGGTAATTTTTTGATAGGCCCTATCGCTGTGTTCACGGACATACAGAGATTAACATGATAAAATGCCTTCAAATTAGTGTACTAGGACGTAAGAAAGCAAATTTTTCCCGGGCCTTCGGCCCCTGGACCCCGACCGGGTTCCTTGGGCGGCCCCCTGGCCCCCAGCCTGGTTGCTCGCTGTGCTCACAAAACGCACCCCCCCACCCATTCAAAATGCTGGATACGGGCCTGGAGCACCTGGTTGTGCTCAAACCTATTTTGGATTACACACCCCTTTTCAATAGGGTACACTTATAGAGCACTTTGTATCTGAACAAATACACAAGAATTATTCATATATTGTAATATTTGTAATAACAATTTTAGACAACTAAACATCTATCACATCTTTGTAAAGAGCATGTACAAACTACTGTATTTAAACAAATTATTCTAAAAACATGAAAATGGCTTTTATAACATAATAAAATGACTACGATATTAATATTTATCACATGTTTATATTATTATGGTAATAATTATAGATTGATATTGATTATAGATATGTACTTTCTGCGATTTTACTAAAAAAGGAATAATTAAATGTTTAGTACACTTATTGATCTTTACTTCCCTTACTAATATTTACTAAATAATAATAGTCAGTGATTTGACTGAACTTGTGTTTTTCATTGAGTCAGGTTGCTTATTTCCTAGCTGTGAGGATGCGACAAAAGAACAGCTGCAGTCATAAGTGTGTGGGTGGGATTTCAGTAATGGGGGTTGTAACCAGGGGAGGCTCTAGGATATAATTTATGGGGGGGGGGCGCTAAGATGT